TGCCACCAGCACTGAGCATGCTCATTGTGAGTACACATTCCTGCCTCTGCCACCAGCACTGGGCATGCTCATTGTGAGTACACATTCCTGCCTCTGCCACCAGCACTAGGCATGCTCATTGTGAGTACACATTCCTGCCTCTGCCACCAGCACTAGGTATGTGTTAGGGTCCTGGAGGAGTCCCACTAAAGACCACCGTCTACCTATGCAATCAGCAAGAGTGTTTATTATCTTGCCAAGGTACCAGCATTCTGGGTTCGCACATCCAACACAAAGGTAAAAATGGAGAATGACTGTCTTCCAAGAAAATCTTGCAGGCTCTTCTATACAACTAAAGGAATTCTAAAAGCAGTGTAATTGTTCTATCCAGGATTGGCTTACGCAAGTGGCAGTCATATTAGTTTGTTTCTTTTCCCTTCCTTCCTTCCTTCCTTCCTTCCTTCCTTCCTTCCTTCCTTCCTTCCTTCCTTTCTTTCTTTTTTCTTTGTTTGGTTTTTCGAGACAGGTTTCTCTGTAGCTTTGGAGCCTGTCCCGGAACTAGCTCTTGTACATCAGGTTGGCCTCAAACTCACAGAAATCCACTTGCCTCTGCCTCCCGAGTGCATGCGCCACCACAGCCTGGCTAATATTAGTATGTTTCTAACTGGCTAGGGTTAACCAGTTGACTAAGGCTTTAGCTTTTACATTCTTGGGGAAGTGTGGCCAAGTCCCAGGCTTTATCCTTATTTGGTTATTGTCTTGAGGTACCTGGGGAGGAGGGAGTTGGCCACGGCTGGCTCAGTATGGGCAATTCTCCTTGTCCTTAACTTTGGTGTGTGTGTGGAGGGGGGCATTGGTGACTGATTGCCCTCTGTTCAGTGTCAGGAGGTGGAACTGAGGGCTTGTTTTTAACTAGGTTATTAGGGGTTGGTCATGATATTTGCCTGCTCAGATTTTTGTTTGTCTGTTTTTTTCAGAATGTTTATATGTAGCTTTGGAGTTTGTCCTGAAACTTGCTCTGTAGACCAGGCTGACCTCGAACTCACAGAGATCTGCCTGCCTCTGCCTCCTGAGTGCTGGGATTAAAGGTGTGAGCTACCACCACCTGGCCAGATTTTTCTTATTAGTACATGTTCCTGCCTATGCCACCAGCACTGGGCATGCTCAGATTTTTCTTTTGTTGTTGTTTTTGGCTAGTGGGAAAAATTGTTCTTTATTTGTTTATTTACTGGTAAGAACGAAATGTATATTTCTTCTGAGAATGGCATTTTTTTTTCTTTTTGGAGAATGGCTATTTTTAACGTTTTTCCATCCTGACATAAATATTTTAAATTTGGCTATGATTTTCTGTATTTAGTTTGGGGCTAGGTAAAGATGTATGAGAGGAAAAAATTAAGTATTGTCACTGCAGGGTCTTTATGTCCTTTTCTAATTTATTTTTTTCTAGTCCTGAAAAACAGTTTCTAGTGTCTCTCCCAAGCTGTAAATAAAATGACTCTTCCCCTAGAAAGCAGAAGCATCAGCAGGTGACAGCTACAAGCTCATTATACTGCTAGATCATAACTCTACTTTTATTTTTTAATCTAGAAATGAACACAGAAGCAGAACAACAGCTTCTTCATCATGCCAGAAATGGCAACGTTGACGAAGTGAGAAAGCTCCTGGAAGCCATGGAGCGGACTGAAGTGATCGCTGACATCGACTGTAAGGGTGAGCTCCCTGTGCTCCTGTGTCCAGCTTCTCTTACGGTCTGCACGACTCCATCATACTTTAACGCTAATCCTTCTGCTCTCCCATGATGGATCTCACTCCTTTTCCTTTGAAGAAGTTCTCAATAGTGTGTGAAATGTCTTTCCTTATACTCTGTAGGGCAGAGAATTGAGGTCCATTCTCCGAATTTTGTGTTTCTTAAATCTTAGAAGTTACAAGGTTGAGCTCAAATGTGCATTCTCTGATAATGTTTTTATTATTATTAGAACTATTGTAGTTGAGCCAGCAGGTTTGGGTGCTGTTTGCCCAACACGGAAAGTGCTGTGATCATGTTGGGAGAGACAGCCAAGCTCCCTGGCCTTGTTGAGATTAGTCTAGGTGAAGAGACCAGGCTAGTCTCCACTACAAAAGAGGTGATGGGGTGTGAAAACTCGGGTGTGCAGGTCCTTAGCAGAGGATCTGTCACTGCGTGGGTACATGAGTTTATAGCTGAAGATCTATATCTATAACTTAAGTTTGAAGAAGTAGCTACTTAGAAATGAACTTAGAGTAAGTGACTTAGCTAGGTGATGTTAGAGAAGAAAAAGATAAACAGAGCTAATAAGAGATATAATTATAAGAGGGTGTAACATGAAGGGACCTTCTTGTTGGGGTATCTGTCCCACCCGGTACCCCACAGCTGACAAGCCCCAAAGAAAATCACATAGAGGACTCCATAAGCTTATAAACTGGTTGGCGCATTAGCTCAGGCTACTTATTAGCTCTTATAACTTACATTAGCCCATTATTTTTATCTATGTTAGCCACATGGCTCAGTACCTTTCTCAGCGTGGCAGCTCACATGTTGCTTCTTCAGTCGTCTGGGCAGAACTGTGAGGAATGGACTTCCTCCTTCCCAGCATTCTCCTGTTCTACTTTCTATCTGGTTTATCCACCTATACTTCCTTCCTGGCCAATCAGCATTTATTTAAAACATGATTGACAGAGTACAGACAATTCTCCCGCACCACTTCCCCCTCTTTTTTTTTTAAACAAAGGAAAATATTCATAGTTTATTTTTTGGGAAAGTGGGTGTAGTTTTTCAGGCTACTTTCTGCTGGTTGGGGGTGCTGATAATCTTATGGGGACCTAAAGAAAATTTAGAGTTATAATCAAGTCCTGACTGGAGTATCCTGTGGGTCTTGATCATCTTAGGCAGCAGTCTTGAATCTGTATACTCTAGGATGGTGCCAGATTGTACAGTATAAAGTATAATGGTCTGTCCTGTTCCTTTAAGGGACAAGCTCCACCCACTCCCTCCCCTTCCTTCCTGCTTGCAGCCTGAGTATTTTCTTCTCTCTCTGTTTCTCTCTCTGTCTCTCTGTCTCTCTCTCTCTCTGCTCTTCCCCTCTCCCTTTCTCCTCCATAACCCACTAAATAAATATCCAACTTCACTCTGCATGGTGTGCCTATCTGTCTCTGACACTCACCCACCACTCGACTTCCTGCCTAGAACCCAGCTGCCTTTGTGGCTTGGGACCCACTGCCCACTGACTGCTGCCACTTCGGGGACCAGCGGCGTGGCAGCCACTTGGGGATCTGCAGCATTTTTACTTAAACCATAACATAATGATGGTTGGCAGCATTGTGATTTGCTGGGAGGCTTGGCAGGCAGCAGCAGGGAAAGCGTTTGGTGGAGTTATAACTTAAAGAAGGGCTTGTTACATGAGTGGAAAATTTCTAGGCCAGCAGCCGACTTTTGATGTAAGGGCTCAACATATGACTTACAATTGATGAGATACTGTGGACGTTTATGAATGAGGAGTCTCCACCCAAGGAAGGTTAGTCATTATGGGAAAAACTAGGTTTTACTGAAGAACGGAAGGCAAAAGAAATGCTTAAGGAAGTAGCTTGAGGTGTTCCCCAGGACACTTAGGAGAAGAGACGCGACGGTTGGTAAATGGGGGCAGGCGCAGGCTCTTGGGCAGCTGAGTCTTACAAATCACAAAGGTAGATGGAGACTCATTAGCCTGCTGTGGACATCGCGGGTGTGGCTGTAGAGTGTTTGGCTTCAGAGCTGGAAACCCGGGAGCTGCAGTGCATGGCAACTGTAGGCTCTGGAGCTCTGCTAGATCCTCTAGCGGTTGGGAGTTTGACAGGGTTGTCATTTCTGCAGCCTGAGCTAGAGTTCTAGTAAGCTTTGGGAGCCCATTAGAAAGAACGTCCTTTATCTTGTTTGCTTAATTGAATTAGACAGCTTTAATTTCTGCCACTGTGTTAACACTTCCCCTCAGATTGCTGTTTTGGATCTGATAATTCACTGCTTTTAACACTGGTTTTGGTTTTCTAGCTGTACTCTCCAGTCCTCTGGTAACCCAGTCTTCTCATTAACTGAGATGCTATCTGAAGTCAGACTCTCCTGTAAGTCATTGTCTTGGGTGAGCAGTACGCAGCTCCCACAGGAATACTCTTGACAATTGCCGTCTGAAGGGCTCTGCAGCACCTGCGGTTCTTCAGCCCACCCTCCCTAGTGCTGCAAGGTTAAATTTAAAGGAGTTTCCTGCCTTTAGATGCTGTGCCAAGAGGACTAGGTGTTGAAGATGAATCTAGCCTAGACTTTTAGAGCCAGCAGGCTGATGGAGATCAGGTAGTTGGGATACAGCCTTGCATGACTGATCTCTGAAGGATGGATGTGGTGAACCGACAGGGTATCCAGTCTAGTCCTGTGAGACTGAGTGCATTGAAACTTTGAGGTTCTTACTATGGTAATGTCTTGCCTCTCATCAGTAATATGAGGCTTGTAGGCCAAGGTACCTCATTAGAAAGAAACCTAGTTTATTGAAAACTGCCAAAATAGTATTTAAAGATACCTTTTTTTCTCCCAATTTTAGGAAGAAGTAAGTCTAATTTGGGCTGGACACCTCTTCATCTGGCATGCTACTTTGGACATAAACAAGTGGTCCAGGATCTGTTGAAGGTCTCTTTATAGCTTTTTGATGCCTGTAATACTGTGGGGTCATGTGATGAGAAGTCTTGGGAAACACTGAGCGCAGTAGCATGCTGAAGCAGCAGCACATCCTTAGATGTAGTCTCTCTTGATTGCACACATGTCTAAATTTCAGTTTTACATTGCTGGGTTTTTTAAAATGGCAAAAAGGAGATATCAATAAAAATAGTTTTCAGCTTTGCAAGCGTGATAATTATGGAAAAGAAGCAAAGAACATCCTAAATAATTAAAAATAGCATCAGAATCTCAGAGAAGACTTAATGAGAACTGAGTCCTCAAATGCCATATTTGCTAACTTTTCACATGGGGTATTTTTGAAATCGAATCATGTACTTAATTTGTGCATTTAAGTCGAGGCATGTTTTCATGTGAACGCTTCCATATTGGTGGTAGAGCAGATGCTCCGAGACCAGGGACAGTTCTTACAGTCCTGTCGCTGCTGGAGTGGAAGGGGCTGAAAGTCCCTTGGAGAAAAGTCTTGACTTCTGCTTGTCTGGTAGATTTTTGGGTTTTAGGAAAGCTGTTTACTTTAGCTGTGAATTGAGTTTACTTTTAGTAGCAACAAACAATGTTACATTATTTTGATTTTCAAAGCATTTAGGAATTCTATTTATTTGTGTGTGTATGTATATTTACTAATGTGTGGACACTATTTAAAGTTTTCATGTTTACTAGGCTGGTGCAAAAGTGAATGTGTTAAATGACATGGGGGACACGCCACTACATCGAGCTGCCTTCACAGGACGAAAGGTGAAAAATGTTTTTTTTTTTCATTTACAAAAGGAAGTATAGAAACCAGCCCTTTGGTCACAAAGGGAGGGGTGATCTGAGCGTTGCACAGTGAGGTAAAACACAAAGGCCAAGAGCTTCTCTGTGCTGTTCCTCATTGAACATGCTCACCCCGCCCCTGACGTGCCAAAACCAGAGCCTAAGCCCACTGTCTCAGTTCACTTTGGGGAGTATCCATTGCAGTGATTTCTTGTGCATTTACGAGGTTGTGTAGCCATCACCATGCCCCGGTTGGGAACATTTCCGTCACTCTGCTGCATGACTAGGTCCTCTACACATTCGTTCCCTGTGCCTACCTCAAGCCTCAGGGTATCATTTGTTTTATTTCCTCGTTGCCTTTTTAAGAAATTTCTTATAAATGAAAACTCTTTAGTACCACAGTGGTGAGGTTTATCTGTACTACAGCATGCACCAGTGCCATGTGTGTACAGCTGTGTGCTGTTCTATCACTGGGCACCTATCTGCCCCGAGACACCAGCTCCAGCAGTCCTCTAGTTTCTGCCCTCACAGTGTTGGGTACAGGCTTGCTGCAGTGGTGCCTGACTCTCTGTGGTTTGGCCTCAGGTCCTCAAGCTTGCACAGCAAACACTTTTACCTGCTGAACCAATTCACTTGCCCTTTGCTAAGTCCTAAAAGTCCATTGTGTAGGATTTCAGAGTGCTTTTCGAGCACCCCTGCATCTGTAGAGCTGAGTGTTCAGTCAGCCGTTTCTAAGTAGCCATGGGTTCATGTACTCAGGTCTCACGGGGTTTTTGCTTTGCTGTGTTAGGTTGGCAGTGCTTCAGAGTTCAGGCTTTTTTCACGTTCCTTTCTGAAGGACCCACTCGCATTTCTCCTACACATGAGTGTTGTTCCCTAGTACCTGTGTGGTACCTGGAACTGTGTGGATGATAGTCTACTCTTTGGTTCTTTTATTCCTAGGATCTCTCTGTTAGGGCAAAGGGCAGAACAGCCCAACACTTGTTTTGTAAGCCTTCAAAGTTGTCTGTACCCAAATCTTTGATTTCAAGTTGCAAGAACAGAGATTGCTCTTTAGCTGACTGAAGGATGGCTGTGCAATCCCCAAGAGTCCTTAAAAGTGTGAGGTGGAGACAGGAGAAGAGCTGAATCTCAGGGAAGCCTGTCCAGTTAGATGCTGTGCTTCTGGCTCGGAAATGGTGGGAAGCAGCTTTGAACCAAGGAGTGTTGATGACCCCGAGAAGCTATGGAGACATGGGAACAAATTCCCCAAAGAGCTTCTGGAAGGACCTGGTCCTCCACTGCCTGGATTCCATCCAGTGAGCTGCATTTCAGAATTAGTAAGTGTGGAACTATAGGATTAATTTGTACTGCTTCAAAACTTCAGGACTGTAGTGGTTTGTTAGAGCAGTAATAGGAAGTTAATATTCTATTGGGAAGAGCAACCTCAACCTCACGCTCTCAAGTTCTGTGGGTTGGTTTCTCTCTGAAGTTGTTGTTTTTACTAATGATGTCTTTTGGTGTGGGTTTTTGTCTTTTGTTCCAAATCAAGTCAGTTTCATATGACAGTTCAGCTACTATTTGTCACTGACTGCTCTGCCCTCGACAAGTCTCCTTGGCACCGGAGGGGCTGGGGAACTGCCTCACCTAGAAGTCCGGTGGCACCGTCATCTAGCCCCTCCTGCTGGGTATCTCCTTCTCTTGGTCTGTTGAGTCCTTAGTGGACTGCATTGCCACGAAAAGGTTCGTGTAGTTATCTTTTCAGGATAACGCTTCATTAAGCTCTTAATGTCCTAACAACAGAAGTTGCCTCATCCCATATTTCTATAAAGTTTTTCTATTATAATAGAAGCAGCCTAGTAAGTAAGTCATAATATTGGCTATGTTTCCTGTGGTCACTTGACTGTTTACTTAAAAAGTACATGCCAGATTTCTAGTTTCTATCCTTCTACTGATGTGTCAGTCACCAGGAACCCACCTGAATGTGTTGGGATGTTTTGAATTAATCCCTTCTTGTCATAAGTTGATGCTTGTGAACCAGGTGTGAAACCTTAACTAAAACTGAGACAGATGTTTTAAAGACAACACACGTAACGTGGTCCTTGCTGAATCATAGGTGTGAAATACTTACGATTTCCCTCATGGCCCCAAATTTCTCTTCCTCTTCTGTGGAAGTCGGAGCATTCTGTCTCCATTTCCTCTCTCGCCCCCCGCCCCCCGCCTCTCTGTGAAGTGCAGTCTCCCCAAGTTCCTGATTGCTTGAAGCTGTTGGGAAACTCTACTTTGCCAGGCTTCTCAGACGCAGTTGAGAAATTTCACTCCTCTTATGCCTTGTGTTGAATTTATTGCTGTGTGTGTCCGAACCCTTACGAGGCTTTGTCAGTATTGCTCCTGAGGAGTCAGCACGTTTCATTTTGCCCTGCATAAATACAGCACAGATTCACTGCCGTTCCCAATCACTTAGTTCATTGTCTGTGCTCAGCTCTTCACATATTTGGGCATTTCTGCTGTTTTCATGAACTCTGAATATGTGATCATGTTAAATTGGGCCCCAGCCTAACATATCCAACTATGTTCGTGTAGCATTCAGCTTAAGTAAACGGTTACATCGTGTACAAATGTTAAGCTTATTATGTAATAATAAGTATGATTAGATGAAAAGTTTAACTTCTAATTGTGATCACAAAAGCCCAAATTGTCTTGTAATCTTTTATTCTGAATATAATTTTAAATATCTTACAAACTTGAAATTAAGTGATTTTTAAATAGAATATTGAGTTTAAATTTAGGAAAAGAATTGTAAAATGCTTTAAATCCTTGTACTCTGAAAGATACAAAATTTAGCTACCCCAATTTTGAGTGCACTTTGACTTTTCTTGGTATATTAGCGACCCCTAGTGTTCCATATTGGAAATCAGCAGAACAGAATTTGTTTTTAGTGTTCTATTTGACTTTTGTTCCTTTATTTTTCAGAGGCATTTAGAATTCTAAAGTCTTTTTTTTTTCTATGAATTTTGCACCATCCAAACAACTTAACCATGCTGTTTCATTTATTCATTACCAGCTACTCTAAATGGAGATGGGCACATTGCCCTTTGTTCTGTGGGAAGCAAGCTGAGCTGTATATCAGTGTGAAGCAGGGATCACAGCTGTGGAAGGGTGAGGCCCCGGAAGTGGACAGAGGCTGGAGTCAGGCCATGGTTCGGTCTCTTAGGATGTGTCTTAGTTAGGGTGTTTTATTGCTGTGAAAAGATACCATGACCATAGCAACTCATACAAAGAGAACAATTAACTGAGGTGGCAGTTTAGTTTCTGAGGTTCTGTCCATTATCATGAGAGGGAACATGACAGCATGCAGGCAGATGTGGTGCTTGCTTGACCAGAAGGCAGCAGGAAGTCAGCTGACTGTCACACTGAGGGAAACTTGAGAAAAAGAGACCTCAGAGCCCTACCCAACAGTGACACACTTCCTCCAAGACCACCCCTCCTAATAACGCCACTCTCTTTGGGGGCCATTTTCTTTCAAACCACCACATTCTGCTCCCTGGCCCCCAAAGACTTATAGCCGTATTGTGATTCAAAATATGTATTTAGTCCAACTTCAAAAGTCCCCATTGTCTATCAAAGTCTCTACAAAGTCTCTTCTGAGATGCATGGCAGTTTTTTAACTAGTGCCCCTGTAAAAATCAAAATCAGAAGTAGATCGCATTCCAACATATAGTGGCACAGGATATACGTTACTATTCCTAAATGTAGGGAAGGAAGCATAGTGAGGAAATACTGAACAAAAGTAAGACCAAAACCACCTGGGTAAACTTCAAACTCTACAGCTCCATGTCTGATGTCAGCATGCTCTTCAGATCTCCAACTCCTTTCAGCTTTGTTGATCACAACATACTTCTTTTCTTTGGCTGGTTCCACTCCATGATAGCAGCTCTCCTTGGCAGGTGTCCCATGACTCTGGCATCTCTAACATTTGGATTCTCCAAAGCAATCCAGGCTTCAACTTTACAACTTCATACAATGACCCCTTTATTTGGCCTCCATTCAGGGTCACCCCGACACATGCCTGGCCTCAGTGATTTTCTTTAGGTATGGAAGGCAAATTCTATAGCCTGTTTATTCTATCCTTAACTCTAAAGCTAGAACCATATGACTGAAGCTGCTAAGTTTTATTGGGACTGGAACAGTGTCCCCTTTGTTTAATCTTTCTGTTGTCCTTCACTGCCTAAACTTGGCTGTCCTTGAACTTTCCTTTTTGACTAGACTGGCCTCAAACTCAGAGTCTACCAGCCTTTGCCTTCCCAGTGCTGGGATTAAAGGTGTGCCCCACCACACCCAGCTCTTAGCTTTACTGTAGTTCCTTTTCACACATTGGAAACTCAGCCGGGTGGGCTCTTGCCCTGAGCTCACCACTCCTATCCTTAAGGATAGAAAGGATAGAAATGAATGTAAAAGGACAGAGTTTAGCTCCACTCCACTTCTTGTTGCTCTTTTTCTTCTCAAAGCTTCTGTTTTGTAATTTATTCTGGTCAGCTTGCTTATCTTCTTTATAAATCTTCATTAGTGTTACCACTATTACCCACATGGCAGAGTCCACTCTAGTCTGTTATTTATTTATTTATTAAAAATTTCCACCTCCTCCCCACCTCCCTTTTCTCTCCCCCTCCCCCATACTAGGCTGTTTTGAGATCCTCTACCAATAGAATTAATCCAAAACTCTTCACTTTAGCATCAGGCAGACTCTTCAGACAGGGGCAAAACGCAGCCACTTTCTTCACCAAAATATCACAAGAATTTTGGCAACATACTAAAATTCTTCTCTCTAACCTCTTGAGCAAGCCCCCTACAGTTCATCAAATCACACTCAACACCATTGTCTTCCATGTTCCTTCTAGAATGCCCATTAAGCAGAGTTTAAAACATTCCACTGCATGCTGGGAGGTGGTGGTGCACGCCTTTAATCCCAGCACTCAGGAGGCAGAGGCAGAGGCAGATGGATC